AGGAAAGATGGAATTAGAGGCGCCTGGGTGGCTCAATGGGTTAAAGCCTCTGCCTTTGGCTCAGGTCATGATCTCAGGGTCCTGGGATCAAGCCTCTCATCGGGCTCTCTGCTCAGCAGGGAGCCTGCTTCCCCCTCTCTCTCTCTCTGCCTGCCTCTCTGCCTACTTGTGATCTGTCAAATAAATAAAGAAAAGAAAAGGAAAGAAAAGAAAAGAAAAAGATGGGATTAGAAAACCACCATTTGGTAATCATCAACTAAAATATAACAGATTCAGGGGTGCCTGGGTGGCTCAGTGGGTTAAAGCCTCTGCCTTCGGCTCAGGTCATGATCTCAGGGTCTTGGAATTGAGCCCCACATTGGGCTCTCTGCTCAGCAGGGAGCCTGCTTCCTCCTCTCTCTCTGCCTGCTTCTCTGCCTACTTGTGATCTCTGTCAAATAAATAAATAAAATCTTAAAAAAAAATAAAATATAACAGATTCAGGCAAGACTCAGCAAGAGATGCTAAAAGGAGTGTGGGGAAGTCTAAAGAAGTATTTGTATGGTACAAAGTATCACACGACAGGATACTTTTCAATTACAAAGCACAAGAAGAGAAAACTACCAGATCTCATCTTTTGTAGCAAGTGATCAAGGGCAACAACACTGCAATACTTCAAACTCTGATGCCTCCTGATACAATGCACCAAGAAAGACACAACACTTCTGTGGGATTCCTGCCAAAACCAACAGCCTCAGTGTAATCACAAGGAAACATCAAACCATCCATCCTGAAAGACACGACCAAGGAGTGAGCAGTTCCCAGCAAACCTCATCATGTTTGACACAAAGACAGACTGAGGAAACTTCCAGATTACAGTGGATTAAAGAGATAAACAACTGAACACAACATATGATAGAATTTTCTTTATCATTAATAAATTAATGATCAAATGATGCATTAGTAATTAATCATTTATTAATAATTAAGTATTAATGATTTAGTAATAAATATTAAATAGGTGTTGGTAAAATCTGAAGAAGACCTGTAGATTCTAGAATTGTATCTATGTTAAATGAGTCTGATTTTAATCACTGTGCTGAGCCTGTGTTTTAGGAAAAACACAATGAATTATTTAGGGAGACAAGGGGTATCATGTCTGTGGGGCGTCTGGTTGGCTCAGTTGTTGGGGGTCTGCCTTCGACTCAGGTCCTGATCCCAGCGTCCTGGGATTGAGCCCCATGGACTGCCTGCTCAGTGGGGAGCCTGCTTCTCCCTCTCCCTCTGCCCCTGCCTGTGTTCCCTCTCTCACTGTATCTCTGTCAAATAAATAAATAAATAAATAAATAAATAAATAAATAAATAAATAAAATCTTTAATTAAAAAAAAGGGAGGGTATCATGTCTGCAATTGACCTTTAAGTGATTCAGAACAGGGGCACCTGGCTGGCTCAGATGGTTAAGCCTCTGCCTTCCTTCAGCTCAGGTCATGATCCCAGGGTTCTAGGATCGAGCCCCACATCTGGCTCTTTGCTCAGCAGGAAGCCTGCTTCTTCCTCACTCTCTGCCTGCAGCTCCGCTTGCTTGTGCTCTCTCTTTCTCTCTCTCACTGTCAAATATAAAAACTTTTTTTTTTAAAGAAAAAAGAAATAAATGACTCAGAACAGGGGTGCCTGACTAGCTTGGTGGGTGGAGCACGTGGGTCTTGATCTTAGGGTCATGAGTTCGAGCCCCACACTGGGTGTAGAGACTGCATAAATAAATAAACCTAAACAGATAGATAAATTAATGAATAAATGAATAAATAACTCAGAACAGGGCAATTCCTCAAACAATTAAACATTATTATAATATGATCCAGCAATTCCATTTCTGTGTGTATATTCCCAAGAATTGAAAGCAGCCTCTTGGGGCGCCTGGGTGGCTCAGGGGATTAAAGCCTCTGCCTTTGGCTCAGGTCATGATCTCAAGGTCCTGGGATGGAGCCCCATATCGTATGGGGCTCTCTGCTCAGCAGGGAGCCTGCTTCCTCCTCTCTCTCTGCCTGCCTCTCTGCCTACTTGTGATCTCTGTCAAATAAATAAATAAAATCTTCAAAAAAAAAAAAACAAAGAAAGCAGCCTCTTAACGAAATATTTGTATGCCCATGTTCGCAGCAGTGCTCATCACTATAGCTACGATATGGAAGCCACGCAGCTGTCTATCAGGGGATGCACGGGGATAAGCAAAAGGTGGTATAGCCATGCGGTGGCATATTATTCAGTCTTAAAAAAGGAAAAAAATTCTGACTGAGGCTACATCATGGATGAACCTTGAGGACAGTATGCTGCCTGAAATCAGCCAGTCCCAAGAGGACAAACACTGTATGGTTCCACTGATAGGAGTCCTGAGAGTTGCCAAATTCATTACCGACAGAACATAGAAGGGAGGGGCTGGGGCTGAGGGAGGGCAACGGGGAAGTCAGCGTTTAATGGGGACCGAGCTTCAGTGTGGGAAGACGCGAAAGTTCTGGAGAGGGATCATGGTGACAGTGGCACACCAGTGTGAATGTGTTTAATGCTGCCGGACTGTACACTTAAAGATGATTAAGATGGTAAATGTTATGTTATATATATTTTACCACAATAAAATAAGATGACTTGGAAGTAAAAAAAAATTTTTTTTTTACATTATACTTATCTATTTACCTTATTTATCCCTAGAGAAAGAGCAAATGTAATACAATGCTAATATTTGAGGAAATCTGGTTACGGAAGGACTACTTCTCTGCTCTCTTCTTATAACTGGTCAAAATTGTTCTTTCAGTGGAATGAGAAGAAAGACAGTTGCTTCTTCTGCCCCCAGGGCTGGGAGAGCCTCCAGCAAAGACTTTTATCTTGGTATGAGGCTGATAATCTGTCTATCTTGACCTGCTCTCACCACGATTCCACTCTTTCTGTCTCTCCCCCTACCACCCTTTTATTTTACTGTGGCCCTGGCAGACCTTTCTGGCAAGTGAAAATATGTTAAAAAGCCAGGAATTAAAAGAATCCATCTCCTGGACTTACACTGAGGACTTCAACGGATCACCTTTACTTGTTTGGGTCCAGCTGGGGAGCTGTCCCCAGTTAAGCCACAGACCAGGCCACCCACAAGCCCAGGCACTGTACTTCGTGAAACCACCTCTGTGCACAGGGGGACTCAGGATGCCAACTCAATCAGTGACCAACCCAAGACACCTCTGGGGCACGGTAACCACACATGCCCCCAACCCAGGTCACTATGACACGTGATGTGCTGGGGTCCCTGGGTGGCTCAGTTGTTAAGCGTCTGCCTTCGGCTCAGGTCATGATCCCAGGGTCCTGGGATGGAGCCCCACATCGGGCTCTCTGCTCAGCGGGGAGCCTGCTTCCCCCTTTGTCTGCTGCTCCCCCTGCTTGTGCTCACTCTCTCTCTCTGTCAATAAATAAATAAAATCTTAAAAAAACAACAACAACAAAAAAAGACATGTGATATGCCAAGGCTGGATGACTGGCTTGGAAAGGCAAACCCTCCCACGGATCCTCTCTGCCTGGCAGGATGGGCAGTCCAATGGCGTAGAGCCACCTCACTTGCCCGGAGTGACTTAATGGCTGTCCCCACTGGGTGATATTTCTTTGAGCATTAATGGGATGGCCACACGCCCACATCAGTTCTCAGTAGTAGGAAATGAGCTGACATCACCAGGAGATCACAGACTGAGTCATCTTCTTTTTCCAACTTTTTTTTTTTTTTTTTACGTAGGCTCCACGCTTCATTTGGGGCTTGAATTCCCGACTCTGAGATCAAGAGTCACGTGTCCTACTGACAAGGCCAGCCAGGTGCCCTGTGAGTCACCTTCTCATCCTAAACTTTGCTCCTCACATCCTCTGGGCCCTCAGCTATGCTCCCCTCACCAGGAGAAAAAAATCTAAACTAAGAAAACTGCCACCATAGGGGTGCCTGGGTGGTTCCATGAGTTAAGCATCTGCCTTCCGCTCAGGTCATGATCCCAGGGGCTCCCTGCTCATCGGGGAGCGTGTTTCCCCCTCTCTTTCTCGCTTTCTCTGTTACTCTCTCTCTCTCTCTCAAATAAATAAATTAAAATCTTAAGGAAAAAAACAAAATGAAACAGCCTCCAAAAATATACACCAGCACCACCCACCCTGCGCTACCTCCCGCCCACAGCATCCCCACAGTGAGGCAAACCACCTGTTCATCAAACACCCGGAGAGGAGCGTCTCTGTTCATTATGGAAGCCCCCCCCCCCCCCGCCACCCAGTGCCAATGGGAGCAGGAGTAGGGGGTTAGAAGGGAAAAGAGCCAGCTGCCCCTCCCACCCCAATTCAGGCTAAGCAAGTAGCATCCGGCACCTGGGGGGACACAGACTCCATGCCCGTCTGTTCACTGGCGGCTTGAGACCAGTCAAACTCCTCTAAGATGACCGAGGTCAGGAGAGCAGCTGCCTCCCAGGCAGGGTGGGGAATGCTGGGGAAGCGGGGGTGGGAGGGAACATTCCAGGTTGATGGAATCGTTCACTATCTTCATAGAAGCAGAAGGGACGTGGATAGAAATACTCTTCCCCGCAATGACAGGGGTACGGAGACCTGTCAGTATCACTTTATGCAAGTTGCTTCCCAATTTTAAACCAGGCAACGGAGGGGAAGGAGCAAGCTATAAAAGTTCAGGGGGAGTTATCAGAAATGGGTGGTCTGTAATCTAGCTGAACTCTTGCCTCTGGACACTTTCTGATCCAAGAGAGCTGGGCGGTTCTCCTGCGGGAGGAGGCGGGTGGCAGCATCCCCCACGACACCGCAGCGAGCGCACCACAGCAAGCACAGCCGCCCGGCACACACACCATGAAAGGAACAGGGCTCACACGCCCCCAGACGGCCCATTGTCTACACCCCAGTCTACCTGACAAGACCCCGCCGCAAGGCCGCATCTGACCGATTCCCTTGACCCCACAACAAAGACCCCCTTTGTTCCCTGGTTAATATCCTTAGCAGGTCTGTCTAGACTCACTGTGGCAGTAATTGTCCCGTGATGTCACCAGGACCTGTGACCCAGCTCCTCCTCGCTGTGCTTGGGCAGGGAACACTCCGGACGGCCAAACAAGGGGGTCCCGGCCCTTGACACCCACCTGAGCCTCCTAGGAAAAGAGAGACCTGCAGCCAGCGTCCCATATCCACCACCCTAGACCTAGAGAAAGACAGGACGCTCCAAAAACGAAGTCCGTCCTGTGCGAGGTGCTTAGGGGCAGTGCCATGCTGGGGAACGAGGAAAAGGGGGTGCCCTCTGTCTCCACACTCCCACCTCCCCAATGTAGCTGGTGGGAGACAGTTCATCCTGCACTAGAGCACAAGTTCACGCAAGGTGTGAAAAAGGAAGGTTAGATGAGTGAGGGACCAAGGAGGCGGGAGGGCCAGGGGAGAGAGGGGACAGTGACAGACAGAGACACAGAGAGATGGAAGGAGAGAGAGATGGAGACATAAGGGGAGAGAGACACGAAAAGAGAGAAACTGAGACCCACAGAAAGACCAAACGAAACTGAAAGAGGGGGACACAAGGGGAGAGAGACAGAGAGATGGAGAGTGCTACGGAGACATAAGGGGAGAGGGAGAGACCGGAGGGAGGCTCAGAGAGACAGAGACAGAAAGACAGATAGAGAAGGGGAGAAAAAAGAGAAATTAGTGGGTCCCTGAGAGAGGAGGCGTTCCTTCTACAGGGGACAGCTTGGGCTTCTGAAAAATCCATGGGGACAGGAAGTTAACTGCTGCTCACTCTGGGAAACAAAACTCCCATCTTCAGCTTGAGGTGATCACCGTGAACTGCCACCTGATCTCACGTCTGGATCTCACCAAGAACACTCCAAGCTATATTTTCCTGAGGGACAGATTGGACCCATCCAACTGGATGCCTTTTCATGCGCAAGTCTGTTTCATCCAGGTCAACTAAAACACACCAAGGGCAGCTCCCAGCAACCCCACAGACAGATCCCGCACACACTGTGCTTTGCGGAAGGCGACGGACCCAAGCACAACTCCGTTGACATCAAGTTCTAGAACAGGTGACACCCACGTGGCAGAAAAAAAAAAGAGAGAAAGTCAGCAGAGATGTTTACACCCGGGGGGAAATAGCTAAGAAGGGCCACAAGGCGCTTCTGTGATGAGAAAGGGGCTAGGAATGTTCTAGATCTTGATCCAGATGCCAGTAGCACGGAGGTGCACATGCGTGAAATTTCATGGAGTTACATGAGGCAATCACTCAGCGTATGTATGCGCAACTCTAGCTTTTGGTTTTGGTTTTGGTTTTAAGGGGAACAATCACATCTTGGGAAAGTTGGTGTCTTTTTTTTTTTTTTTAATCCATGGAATGGTAGAGAATCCTCTCTTATTGTCTCACAGGCTTGAGGTAGAAAATGGAAAGTCTTCCAGAGGCAAGGTCTGGCAAGATGGGCAACCAAAATATCAGGGGCATTTCCCCTCCAGCAGCAGAATGAAAAAGCTGCCATCCTCCACCATCCGCATCCCAAAGCTCAGAGGGATTTCCAAAGATTGTTTAATTGATTTTTCTCCTATTTAGATGCAGATCATAGTGTCTGGGGCCCAGGAATTCAGACACACGGCTTTGTGTCCACTCAGCCCCATGAAGGCTCCTGTCTGAAACTCGCACAAAGCCAGACACACAACGTCTTCAGAAACACGCTGTTTCCTTTTTGTCTGGGGCTCCAGGGAGAGGGTACGACGAGCAGAGCCTGGGACACGCTCCCATCTGCAGGGTCCTGGGGACCCTGTCCCTCTGTCCTGCTCACAAAGTGGGGTGAAATGTTTTTTAATAAAAAAAAAAAGAAAAGCAGCCAAGATTTTGAGGTCTCTACTTGGGGTGATGTAAAAAAGTGGGGGGGAGCAAAACTAGGGGTGGACACATGGAGGTTTCAACTTGGATTTTTCTCCAAATTCAGGGCTCTGGCGTGAAAAGCAGGGGATGCTTTAAATCAAGCAGCTAATGGGCTAGGATTAACATGAGTTTGGCTCCGGTCTCTGCAGACCTGATTTATATAAGAAGAAAACGGTTCTCTCTTTCTCTCTCCCCATTGTTCCCGTCTGTCTCTCCAAATGCCCCATCTGACAAAGAAAGTGGAAGGCTTACAGGCTGACAACCTGCTCGGGACAGTGGGAAAGATACCCCTACCCCCCAATCAGCAGCCTTCTCCTCCCACAACTGCTGGGAGGCAACAGTGAGGGTCACTATACCTTCTCTACAAGGCTAATACAACCCCCCAACATCCCTGCCTGGTCCCCCGCAAACCTGGCTGGGGCAGGGGACACTTTTGAGTCACCGCCACTCCAGTTTCCTGACTGTGTGACCTCAGATAACTCCCCGGGGGGCCCCGGTTGCCCAGTCAGGAACGTGGACACAAGAATGAGTACACCCAACCATGCAAAGGTTGTGAGGGAAATTCAGAGTGCTTCGTACACAGCAAGCCAACAAATGTGGTTATACTGGTCACCATCTGGAAAGGTGTGGATATCAGACTTAAATGTTTTGAAGGAAGCTTCAAGGGACCAGTTCTCCTTTGTAGGCTCCTTCCTCTCTTTGGTGCCATATATTTCCACGGGGAGCCCAGCCCTGAGTCTGATTCCTACACTCCAGATCCGAGTTACCTGGACTGCAATCCAGCTGGCGTTCACGGTGTGTTCTCCAAAAGGGCCAAATCCTGGAAGAGCAAACAGGAGAAGCCACGTATCACCACCCCAGTGACCTCTTGTAGCCTGCCCAGGGATGCATTGCTGCCTCTACCCGGTGGAAAGGAATGGGGAACTTGGGCAGCAGCTGCCACCAGGGCCAATGTCGGGGGCCTGGTCCTGCTATCTGGGGCACACCCAGGGCTCTTCAAAGAGTCCTCCCATTTCTCGCTCTTAACTGCTTTTATTTTTTTTTAAGATTTTATTTATTTATTTGACAGAGAGGGAGAGATCACAAGTAGGCGGAGCAGCAGGCAGAGAGGGAAAAGCAGGCTCCCTGCCAAGCAGAGAGCCCGATGCGGGGCTTGATGTCAGAACCCTGAGATCATGACCTGAGCCGAAGACAGAGGCTTAACCCACTGAGCCACCCAGGCGCCCCTCTTAGCTGCTTTTAACTGTCCTTTCTTATCTTCCCCTTTGCCCAACCCTCGTGCCTTCCAAGGCGCCAGTGGCCTCCTGTTGCCCCCAAAAGGGCTGGCCTTTTTCCCCCCTCTCGATTTTTTCCACTATCCCTGATCCCCATCTATAATTATTTTACCACCGTCTTTGTGCAGGGCCTCTGTGCTCCGTGAATCACCACCAAGTGAGGAATGGCCCTTAAGGGATACATGTGGGTGTCTCCCAGGCCAGGCTGTCCAGACAACGTCCTGCCACCCTCTTCCCTGCTTGCTCGAACTCCAAGTCCCACTTACAAACTGAGGGAGTGGTCAGAGGATGCGCTAAGGGTTCTGCCTGCACTGTGGCCTTCAACCTCCCTGAGTTCCCTTTCAGGCAAGGCTGTTTCCTGGACCCCTTTTACAGGAGCAGGACTAAGGCACAGATAGGTGAAAACCACTGCCCAGGGTCACAACCAAGAAGGCAGAAGAGCTGGGATTCGAAACCAAGCCCATGAGAGTTCACAGCTCTTCTCTTCTAATCACCCTGTCCCCCTGCCTAGAAAGGAACATCTCCAAGAGAGGATGCCCTGGAACTGGGGGTCACTCCTGAGGGTCCCAGGTGGTGTCATGGCCTTGGGAGGGATGCTGTGCCTTGGAACAGCAGAGCCTCCCCCGCAGTGGGGGCAGGACCTCTCCACCCCTTATCTTCTCCTGCATAGACTAAGTATGAGTCCCAGCTCGGCCACCTACAAACAGGGTAACCTCTGTAAGCCTCAGTTTCCTCTGTGCAAAATGGAGATGGTACCGATGTAATGAATTCATGCAAGGAAAATGCCCAGTCCGGCGGCTACCTACAGAGCCCAGCACTAGAGGAACAGATAACCAGATACAGGAGGGCTGGGGGGGTGGGGGGTGGCAGCAACTCTCCCTGCAATTACACACACCTGTTAAGTGAGTGCCTTCTTCCACCTTCCTGGGAATTCCAGGATCAGCCTCACCCTCCCCAGGCCAGAAAACACTTGTGGGAAGCTTAGCTGGATCTCCCACTCTGACCCCTCTAGACAGCAGGTCAAAATGACCCCCCCCCCTCCAGCCAGAGGGCAGCGGAAGTTGACGTTCACGTGGCCCTGAGGCGGAGTCTTCCCCAGGAGGAACAGTTAGTTTCGGGGAGTTAGTGACAGCAGGCACGGGCTCACCCATAAACAGCTCGGGGCGGGGTGTTGGGGGGGTGGAGATCTTTGACCCACACGGTCCTGGGGACAACAGGGAGAGCAGCTGGCCACCTGAGGTTCCCCGACCTCCACCTGTTCTTGCCTCGGGAGAACAGCCCCCCCCATTAGCACAGGGCTGGGGGAGCAGTGGCTGGCAGGAGGTTCATTTGTCACTGGGGCACTTCCTGCCCGCAAATCGGCCTTTGTCCCCTGGGGCAGTGGGTGGGGACAGAACCGACCTCGGGAGGGGCAGGGTGAAGTCCAGTCCTGCCCACCCGCTGGTCAGACGGAACAGACAGGTGCGCAGAGGACCACTGTCCTCACCCGGGGAAGGAAGGACGCCAGAGGGGCCTGTTCTGCGCGGGGCACTTGGCTGGACCCTCACACCCCTGCTTGCCCCGACCCCTGACAGTGGGGCCAGAGGGGCGCCCCTTCTCCACTTCCTACGTGTTGCGCGGACCGAGCTGGGCGATGACACCTTCCAAACCTGGAACGACTTCTAGCACCTGCCCCTCCCGGGCCACCGCTCCCCTACCAACCCCGCCGGCTCTGGAGCCGCCCAACCCGCCCCTGCCCGCGGTCGCTGTCGCCGCGGCCGCCATCAGCGTACCCGTCACCACCACCGCCTTCCTGGGCTGCTCCATAGCGGGCTCGAGCGCCGCCTCTGACCCGCTCCTGCCGGGACTGGCAAGTCGGCCGCCGCAGCCGCCGGGACCCCGCGCCGCCCCGCCCCCGGGCCCGCCCCCAGCCCCGGCACTGGCCCCGCCCCCGGCCGGGCCGCTCGGCGTGCGCGCCCCGCAGCCCGAGGCGCAGCGTGCGCGCCCCGACTCCGACACGCGCCTTAGGGGCGCCGGACCCCGAACCTTCCCCAAGTTCGGTTTCCCCCTTGTAAGATGGGGACAGTTCGTTTTGTAAGATGTGACCGCTTGAACTCACTTGAGTCAGGCGCTGCGACGAGCGCGTCATTTTATTCCGCGTGTTCACTGAGCGCCTCTGTCCGCCCACTCCTGGGGATTATCTGGCTCCCTCCTCCGCCACCTCCCGTAAGACTCGGTTATTCACTTCGTTTTGCAGTTTTGAAGCATGGTTCTAAGGGC